ACACACAAACAACACATGTACATGCATACAAACGACAACGACACATAAAAATATATACATATAACACATAAAAATGAGAAAATAGGGAATCTTGGGAAAAATCCATCGCTGATCCCTCACAGATCAGCGAGGGATCAGCGAGGGAATTGGCAAAAGTCAGATTCCCTCGCTGATCCCTCGCTGATCTGCGAGGGATCAGCGAGGGATTTTGATTTTTGCAAAATCCCTCGCTGATCCCTCGCTGATCTGTGAGGGATCAGCGAGGGAAATGACAAAAATCAAAATCCCTCGCTGATCCCTCGCTGATCTGCGAGGGAATATACTCTTTGAAAATCCCTCGCTGATCCCTCACAGATTAGCGAGGGATCAGCGAGGGATTTTGATTTTTGCCAATTCCCTCGCTGATCCCTCGCTGATCTGCGAGGGATCAGCGAGGGAATTTGCAAAAATCAATTTCCCTCGCTGATCCCTCGCTGATCTGCGAGGGATCAGCGAGGGAATCTKACTTTTGCYAATTCCCTCGCTGATCTGCGAGGGATCAGCGAGGGATTTTGCAAAAATCATTTTCCCTCGCTGATCCCTCGCTGATTTTTCTATTTTCTCATTTTTATGAGCTTGATWYGGTTTCATTGGGCCTTGATGGGCTTGATTCGGTTATTTTACAACCCTTGACATTTGTATAAATATTCAAATCATAATAAATGAACTTTCATTATTTCTATAAATATCTCAATTAATTGGGTTGCAAGGGTTGTACAAATACACAAGGTTGTAAAAGAAATATACCCTATATATATATATATATATATATATATATATCGACTGCACAATGAAAGGACAAAATGATGTAATATATTTACGACGGAATATTTCCGTCGCTGAATCTGTTTAAAATTATCTAGGTCAAATGGAGTCGAGCCTATTTAAATATTATTCTATACATAATTTAATAACACTCATAATGTTATCCATGTCATCAATCCATGATCAAATATGACTCTTGGATTCAACATGATCAACGGCTCACAATCAACCACACTATTTCAYATGGATCAWAAATTCATYCGCCAAAATTCTTYCCCCCCAAATCTCAAAATTTCCACCTTTAGAAACCAACCCACAATCGTTGTTTCACAATTTTTCATTACATTCAAACCCATTTGATTCTTGCAAAGCTGTGTGAAAATGTCTGGCCGTGGAAAGGGTGGTAAGGGATTGGGAAAGGGAGGAGCAAAACGTCACCGGAAAGTTCTCCGGGATAACATTCAGGGGATCACAAAGCCGGCGATTCGRAGACTGGCGAGAAGAGGCGGAGTGAAGAGAATCAGTGGATTGATATATGAAGAAACTCGAGGTGTGCTGAAGATCTTCTTAGAAAACGTGATTCGTGATGCAGTGACTTACACGGAACATGCTCGCCGGAAAACGGTAACCGCCATGGATGTTGTATATGCTCTTAAGAGGYAGGGACGRACTCTRTATGGGTTTGGAGGCTAAGTTTTCCTATTCGATTATGGTACCAAATAGATCTGATCAATGCAAATGCTTACTCTGATTCTGATGTATTTGAATTCAATGAAATTTCAACTTTGTTGTATAATCTGATCTTGCATCTTTGATTCATCATCGTTTTGGGTTTGTTTTTTGTGGGTTAGATCAGTATTTGTTTGTAATGTTTGGGAAGTAAATCAGTTTACAGTTTTATATGATTCTTTAAAATGAGCAATCATTCATGGATGTTTCCCTTGTGATTAAGAGAATTCTTTGAATCTCGTGAGTTATATTAAGAAGGTCAATCCTCAATTGCATTAAAAGTTATATTTACAATTTAGCGACGGATTAGCGATGGAAAATCCGTCGCTGAAAGTGCTTGAAATTCCCTCGCAAATCCGTCG